TTTGATGCATCACATCAGACATCAGAAGATTGAGGAAATAGAAGAAGCCCTGTTCTGAGAGCTATAACTTAAACCACCATATAGCTATCTATATTATCTGCAAATTTCTCCTCAATCGTGTGATTCCTCGTCTCCACCACTATGTATCAACTGATACATAAATCAAGGAAAATTAATTAAAGACGAAAAACACTAGATTTAGAGATACGGCTACGTCTATGAAAAATGTATGTTACTTACTAGGGAGCCAACTCTCTCAAATGCTTCCATTACTTTTGCATCTTCCTCATCTTCATAACCCACTTGCAGTATTTTTGGTCCATTGATAGACCAGAACGCTCTTCTGCCCGCCTCCTGGTAGGACGAAGCAAGAGCAATGATACTTTTGAGCCAAGAAACATCAATCGTTTAAACTCTTGGCAGTAAGATGACAAAAACAAAATGAAGCACTCAAAACATGAGAAAGTTACTTATCTTTCTAATTCATTTATGGACCACCAAGTGAAATCTTTTTGTTCCAACTGTAACAACCATTTAACATTACCCTAAAATGAAAAGTGACAATTTAAAACTATCTTCTAAACTTTAGGGATTGAAGTGTAGGTTTTAGAATTTTCAAAAATACTTCTCTTGGTTTTTTTTGCAGAAGGTGGATGTTGTTTTGTGGGCAAGGGTGTTTATAGCTTCTGGATTTTAATTAATCCTAATGATTCCACGATGGGTTGTCAATTACGTTGTTATTGGAGCTCCTCTGCACATTTAAGATAGCTTCTTTTTTTTTAACAAGATACGAACTTTTCATTTGATATATGAAAAGGAACAAAATTGTTCAAAGATACAAACTCCGGAAGGAGTGATAGAGAAAAACAAGAAATAGAAAATAAAATATAAGACAAGACAACAAAGGGAAATAAAGGCCTCCTAATTCATACAAATCATACTAGGGGAATACAAAGAGAAAATATTGGAAAGAGCACACCATTGAAAAGCTTTGAATTTGGCAATGTTGAAGCATTCCAATGACGGGCGACAAGAATCTTGAAAAATCCTTTGATTCCTCTCGAACCATAATTTTGAGATGATAGTCTTAAACTCATTAATCCAAAGTAGATTAGCTTTAGGCATCAACCCAATACCATGTAGAATCTGAAAAATATTATTAGCAGTCTCACGATCTCAAGCCCATGCTAATTGGAACATCTGGACGAAAAGATTCCAACAAACAGCAGCATAACAAGTAAATGGATGGCTGTAAAGCCATCTTAGTAGTCTTTCTCTGCAAAATATATGCTGTATTAACTTATAGAAATATCTGCTGTATTAACTTTGCCATATAATAGAATCCAAGCTAACATATTAACTCGTTTTGGGCTGCCCAAACTCCAAAGAGAGAATAGAAGAGCTTTTGAAACCCACAAATCAGCTCTTTGAAACTTGCAAAGAGAAGAAACATAGAAGAGGCCCGACTTTTCCAATCCTCCTCGCGATGAACATCATCATTTTCTTCTGAAATAGTAACTGAAGAAATGCAAGAAAGAAGCTTTGAAAGCTCCATAATCTCCTCGTCTTTCAATGCCCCTCGAGTTACAATATTCCATGAAGAGGACCCACTATCCCAAGCTTCCGAAACCGAAATAAGAGGAGAAGTTGAAATACTATAAATAGAAGGAAACCTATCCTTTAAGAGAGAGACTCCAACCCATAAATGGTGCCAGAAGAGAGTTCTCCGTCCATTCCCAACTTTGAAAAAAGAGGATTTCTCCACCTGAAGCCACTGTTTGTTGATATTATTCCAAGGACTACGACCCGAAGCATTGAGTTTAGGTATCGCATTCCAATTAAAATGGTCAGATCCATATAGACTGGCCACCACCCTACGCCATAAAGCTTTTGTCTCCATGCTAAACCTCCACCCCCATTTAGATAAAAGAGCATTGTTGCGCTTAAGAATACAACCAATGCCTAAACCACCTGCTTCCAACGGGATGGAGGCAATATCCCATCTCACCAAATGTCTAAGGATCCTTTCGAAGAATCGCCCCACAAAAAGGAACGCATCTTTTGCTCAATTT